CCCAGATATAGAAAAAAAATTCTAGGAAATATACTTCCAAAAATTGGTTTTGAAAACCCTAAGGAGGTTTTCCACACCATGACTCTAATCTACGTGATGCTATGATGTGCTCACGGGCGCGCACACACACATGCACGTGATGAACACGATGTTGCGTATAGTCAAGGTAATTATACATGACAGAGTAGAACTGCCCCATAGAGTATTGTAGGCTGCTTTCTCTGCCGTGTGTGTGTGTGTGTGTGTGTGTGTGTGTGTGTATCTGTATCTGTGTAGATCACAGATCTTTTCTTCCACAGAGCTGCTGTATGGGTTTCAAATGATGACCTTTTGGTTAGAAATTGAACACTGTACTCCTTATGTTACATAATAGCTACTTTAATTTTGAAAATAAGTTCTTTAATCAACACTGCCATTTCTATTCTGATGAGTTTCTAAACAATTGCTACTTTCTCCCTGTTGTTCAGTTAAGAAAACCAGATGCCTTGCCCCCCGCCAGGTGAGGAGTTATTTTTCATATTCCCTGTAAATGACTGATCCAGCATGACTGGTTCAAATTACTGACCCAAGAGGAGAGACCCTGAAGTGATCCCCCAGTAAGCCTTCAGGGACAGCCAACGTACAGAAGGTCCTCAGAACAAAAGAGACATTAGAGCTAATGAATTAGGCTCTATGGCATTCACCTTCTGTAGCGAGATGAGAAGCTTTTAGAGTCAGGTTGTAGATTCTGTATAACTCCAAAATGATTATCAAAGCCCCGTGAATAAGTACTTAGAAAACATTGGTGGTTAATTGTTAGAAAACATTGGTGGTTAATTGATACAGCTGCGTAAGAGTATCAGAAGTAAGAGCCAATTCATCTCCCAGTGGGAGGTACTTGTTCTCTCCAAAGCAATGGGAAAAGCAAGGTGAAACATCTCAGCGTGACTTGTTTATCTTGGATACCATATATAGTATATATAGGGGGGAGTTCTGTTGGCCTTTGAGTAAAGGATATATGTTGTTGTTGTTGTTAGGTGCCATTGAGTCGTTAGCGACCCTGTGAATGAAAGACCTGAGCATTGTTCATAGAGTTTCCGGAGGCAAGCTATTACTGAAGTGGATACCACTCCTGCTTCCAAGCTTGTTTTAATCAGGGAGCTCCACCAAACACTGTCCACCATGGGTGACCATTATCACATTTGGCACATCAGTGTCACAGTGTTCAGGTTCACAGAAACTATGAGTTACCTCTGTACAGCAATTTACAGGCCAGTGCTATACCACCTAGAAGAATGCCTGACAGAAAAACAATTTGAACCAGGCCTGAGGGCCGCAGATTAAAATCACCCACTTTGTACTTGGTAGCATATAATTGATGTAGTGTACTGTTGGGTTGGAATTAACCGACAGCTGAGCATTTAGTGGGTTTTCAGATGCAATAAATCACACGGGAGGAGAGTGCTCCACTTTCTCCCGCATATTACACACACACACACACACACACACACACACACACACACGCGCGCATATATTGATGGATTCAAACTGAGAGAAGAGGGTCCTGATTTAGGTAACTGCCACTGAGATGGCTCTACGTGTGGCAGAATTAAACAATGCCTGGCCTTGCACCTTTCTCAGAACCGCCTGGAAGTTGGAGTTCATTGCTGTCGCTATTATGCTGGTTCATCTCACTAATGATTTCTCTTGTACTTTGCTGCCCTCTATTTCACCAGATACTATTGATTCTTCCAGATGTCATGCCTGAAGCTGAGGTGTTGGAGGGGGTTCTCAGGGAGTAGTTCACAGACACTTGTGCTGCTAAGTCAGGACACTCTTCTCTCAGTTTGAGCCCATCAGCAATTTCGTGGGAGGAGCATAGGCAACCTCCTCCCATGTGATTTATAGTCTTGGAAACCCAGTAGAGAGGCAGCTGGAAGTTGGCTCTGTCCCCACGGCGATGAGTGACATAGAGATCACTTAGCCTTTCTTCCTAGTTTGTCTTGGTCTAGAAGCTTCATTGAAACTTGTCCATTTGGAAGACTGTTGCCGGTATTGGAAATAGTGATGGCACAGCCTGCAGCAAGGGAGCTCTGGTGGCCTAGGGGTAAGGAGTTGTGCTGCCAACCTAAAGGCATGAGGTTTGAATCCACAAACTGTTCCAAGGGAGAAAGATGGTAAATCTCTTGTGCCATTTGCTGTCTCTGAAAATCTGCTGGAGAGTAGCTATGAGTTGGTTCCGACTTGACAATGGGTAACAAGCTTCCAGACCCATGGCAAGGTGTGAGCCACCTCCCTGCCAGAAAATGACAGACAGCTAAACCTCAATCCCATCATTTGTAGAGAGTAGGAGAAGAGGTTAGGAGCCCTGGCTGAACGTGAGGCTGCTACTCCAAAGTGCCAACCCACCACCTGTTCTTAGCCTGTTTCTGTTAAGATTTATGGCCTCAGAAACCAAGCCACCGTGGCAGGGTCTACTCTCTCCTAAAGTTGACAGGAGTGTTTGTTTTGACCTTGAGGATAAGAAGATATTCACCTACCTTTCCTCAAGAACCTTTTAGGACCCTCCACTGGGTCCCTAACAGGCTTGTCTCAGGGAAAGGATTTAGAGGGCAGGCTTTTCAGTCAAGCAAGCCAGAGTGTGTCTTAGGCCCCTGGGCCCAGGCAACATTTGAAGGTGACTCGGCTACTCGACCTCTGATGATAATGGAACTTCAAGCTGAAAATCGCCCTATAAATTTAATTATGCTTTGGCAGGGATGTTAATACAATCTTAAGAGCAACACATCGGCAACTGTGAGTTACACAGAAAGTTAGGACTGAACTAACATAAAATTACAAAAATAAAGTCCCAGTCAAGGTCTGTATTTTATCTGCATTTTTACTAAGCCACATATTTTAGGCCGAAACTAATAACCCTCTTGTTTCCTTGTCTCACGAGCTCAAGACAAACTTCTCTGATGGGAAGTTACAACGTTTGATCCACTTCTAGTTGTTCTCTGTGCCGCTGGCAGCATAGCCACATAAACCAAACTCTCTTTGTGTAATTGTTCTGTGTCGTAAATATTGCCAAGTAAAAAGGCTTACACCGCCTCTTCTCTATTAAAATAATAAAAATTTCACTGACAGTTAGACACCTTGATTACTCATTCATTTTGTGTGTTTATTGAGGCTTTCTGAGTTTCCAATTAGCACAATGACCAACTTGATTATTAGTGGGAGGAGAATTAAACTTAGAATAAAGCGAAACCTGCCCTCTTGTGTTTTATTAGAAAATTGCACAACGTGGTAAAATCTCCTTAGCTATTTTCCTGGGATATATGATAAATTGCCCGGGACAGAGGAAAAACAAAATCCCAAATGCTGAAGACTGGCCCAGAATTCAGAAATCAGGGTAGATAGAGCATATTATTATTATTATTATTATTATTAAATGCTCACTATTTGCTGTGGAGTCGAGATAGGAATATAATTAAGGCTTTTAGAATTTTCATTTTTGTATCATTTGAAATTTTAACTGTCTACCAGCAAACCATACACATTCTGGGGAATAACTCAGCCTGCCAGGCAAAAATCTTCAACATCTACCTAATATGAACAGGGCATAATATAGTTAAATATTGCTTCTATGATCACACTGCTATGAGTTGGGATTCTTTATTAACCTCAAACTGTTACAGAGAAGTTGGTAAGTTTTGAGAACGTTTTTAGAAAAAAAAAACACATTAGTGAGTTGAGACCCACATAAATATTTAAATTTAGGTGTGGGTGTGAGCATTGCCAGGAAATATTCTTCACTGTGGCTAATTTACTTTTCAAAACGGAACTCTTGGTACGATGGTGTGTTGTCGAGTGTTATTCATAGCCACGTGGGGATTCTCCTATCTTCTTTCTCCCTTATTGTCACTGAGTCAATTTCAACTCATCGTTGACCCGCCATGTCTTTCTGAGGCTACACACCACACAGGAGGAGACGGCCCATCTTTCTCTAGTTATTAATGGATTTGAAACCCCACTGAAGGGCGGCCTTGGTTAACAGCAGTTTTCTATGGACTGTGCTGTCAGAACGCCTTTAGTTTTGAAAAAACTCAAACTCATTTCTATCTAGTTGGAACTGACTCATAATTGACCTTCCAGCAGATTTTCAGAGGCTGTAAATCACACAGGAAGTGGTCGCCTGTCTTTCTCCCGAAGAGCTGCTAGTGGATTTGAACTGCCTGCACAATCTTGGATGGGTTAGGAAAAAAGGACTTAAAAGATAAAGAAAACATATTTCTAGTTGTTTTTTTAAATAGAGCTTCCTCTGCTCAATTAATTGCTGTCAAGTTGGAACTGACTCTTATATCTGAACATCTAGAAGAGTTTTCAGAGGCTGTAAATTGCATGGGGAGAGATTGCCCACCTATGGTATATTCGAACAGCCTGCCTTTGGGTTCGCAGCACAACTCCTTACCTGCTAGGCCATGAGGGCTCAGTAAGTTCGTATTGTTGCTCTCAAATTGGCCCTGCTTCGCGGCTACCCAGGCCCAACAAAACGAGGAAAGGCTGCCTCAATCCCATGGCATTCTCATGATCCCTCGTGTACTTGAGTCTGTGGCTGCCATCGGAGACCCATCGGCCAGCACTGTATGGAACAATAGGCTGTTGGGATCCATACAGTTTTCCACGGCTCATTTCAGAAGTAGATACTCAGGCCTTTCTTCCTGCTTTCTCTTAGTCGGAAACTGCTGAACCCTGTTGATCATGGGTGACCCTGTGGATATTTTATTTTTAAATGATATATCTATATTTTTGTATTGAGGGAGTAGAAAAGAAATAAAGAAATCAGCCCCTATACTGGGCCCTATTCAGTTGCAGCTTCTTTTTCCATAGGGTTAAGAAAGACTTTGAGGAAATAAAAGTTGTCTGGAAAAATCCAGGTGTAGTTGCTTTGTATGTTGTGATGGGCAGAAGGGATGAAGGTTGGAGGCCCCTCACGCCCTCCCGGGGGCGTAGAACGGGGGGCAGGGAAAGCGCCACTCTCATTCTTGCTTCTTGGGATTGTTGACGGCCACGTAGTGGTAAAGGACAAGCAGGAAGAGCGACACGCCCAGCATGTTGGCAAAGACAATAAGCTGCACGTCCGTGATCATCTTGACCTGCTGGGCTCAGCTCCCCCCTGTGGGTATTTTAAATACCAGTGTTGTGTCATAGCAACACACAAAGCATCACAATACGGCAGCCTGTTTGGTTCTCTTGTTTCAAGAAGTTCTACTGAGGTGAGGGATCCAGACTCAACTTTCCCCGGCTGACCCCACCGTCTTTTCTTCCCTGCGGTCCTCTCTGCAAATCGATTACGCCCTAGGTGATGGTGGCTGTTTCCAGAGATGACTAACAGGAAAAAGAGAAAAATGAAAACCAAAACAAAACAAAAACAGGGGGAGAAGTTGAGGAGTCTACTGGAGCGCTACAAGAAGATGCAGTCTTCTCTCTAGAAGGACTGCAATTTTACAACTTGTTGGTAAATATGGAATTACATGGCTTTGGGAATTACATTACTTTGGGAACCCTGGTGACTGAGTCTACCCAAACTAGAACCCATTTCTAACCCACTTCTCTGGGAGTTCGAATCTACCAGGAACCCCACATGAGAAAGATGCTCAACATCTGATCTTTTGATTTACAGCCTCAGAAAACCTACCAGAAGGTCAGCTATGAGCTGGTTCAGTGCTGAATTTTTGTTTCTTTCTTTGCTAGTGTTGATGATCTGTCTTTCTGAAGGAACATTTATTAAGAAAGGAAATGAAACAAAACTTAGCAGTGGCAATACTCAGAATAAAAATAAAAGACACAGTTCAAACCCAGCGGCTGCTCTGTGGGAGAAGCATACATGGTGTCCTCTCTGGCAATATGCATTCTCTGGAAACGCGCTGGAGGGTCAGCTATGAGTTGGTTCCAACCTGATGGCAGTTATAGCGCATAGTGACCCTACGAACACCCTTGCCCCAGCTTCTGTCATCCTCGTGGTTTCCTACGTGTGCGGCCTCAGTGTTGCAGTTACTGTGTCAATCCATCTGGTTGAGGGTCCTCTGCTCTTCAATGACCCTCTCCTTTTCCCAGCAGGATGTCTTCTTCAAAGCACTGGTATTTTATTATTATTTTTTTTAATTTCAAATTGATTTTAATGAAAGTTTACAGAAACTTTGGATTTCCATTCATTCATTGTTGCACTTTTCTCCCTGTCCACCCCTACCCCCCAGTTCACTCTTCTCTTTGAAAAATAAAAGAAAAAATTATTTCATTGTTATTCAATCCCTCCCCCCAGGTCCACTCCACTATGCTACCTTCATTCTGGACTCACGTCCTGACAATAATACCTAATCATGTATCCCCCCTCCCCCCCCCCCCGTTTTTTAAAATAAAAATTTACAGAGACTTAGGATTTCCAGTCATTCATTGTTGCACTTTTCTCCCTGCCCCCCCCTTCCCCCTACTAACTCTTCTCCTTGAAAGGAAAAAGAAAACCTCTTTTATTGTTATGCAAGCCCTCCCCCCTAAGTCCACTCCACTATGCAGCCTTTACTTTGGACTTCTGTAATGACAAGAATACCCATTCATATATCCTTTTTATAGATCTCTCTTTTTATACAGATCTCTCATATATCTTTTTATACAGATCATCTGTTTCAATGCAAATGTATCCTTTTTAAACACTGGCGTTTTTATTGCTGCTGTTACATGCGTTTGCGTTGGAACCTCCTCAGAGCTGGCCCTCGGGCAGGTTTTGAGAGGCAGTAAATTGCATGGGGGGAGACTGCCCATCTCTCTCCTGTGGAGCCCCTGGTAGATTTGAACCGAGTGCCTCTGAGTTGGCAGCACAGCTCCTTACCACTAGGCCGCCAGAACTCCCTGATACCTTCCTTAGTAAGAAAATGGAGTATCTGTACTTCAGCAAGCTTGGTTTCCCTTTGCAAATCGTGCTCAGCTGAGACGTGCTTGTTCTTCTCTAGGCCTTATCCCTCTTGAGGCCAGCAAACCATCAGCGGGGAAAACACAATATGACCTGAGTCATAATCCATTCAGCTCCTATTGTGCCCTTTTCTTCAACTGAAACAAGCCTACAACCTTCAGTTTATCCCACCCCTGAAAAAAACAAAGCAACACAACTCTTATTTGCACTGCTCATTTTCTTTTCATTTTAGGTAATTTCCAGTTCCGAGGCCTGTAATGTCTCACAGATTCAAGGTCGTTCTCATTCTTTCTGCGCATTTCTCTCCACGGTGAGGTCCCCTTATCAAGATGCAGGCTGCTTTGTGTTTTTAACATTTTCACCGGAGGTACCTGCAACGCTTTGATCCTGGGCTGACTCTAAATCGTTTGCTGTCAGCAGCAGAGCGGGTGAGCTGGGGCGTCCCGGGTGCCACTCTGTCTGCCTGGTGCTTGACAGCATTATTAGGCCTCGCCAACAATCAAAGGGCCCTTACAACCCAGGAACATGCAAATATGCTCTTGCCCTGCTGCAGTCTATCACAGTCAGCATTTCCCAGCCCCACTGCACAAAAGCAGACCTGATAGAATCATTCTGAAGTTGACACTGGGTGTCAGGGATGTATATTCATTGTTTTTGAACAACAGCTGCGGAGAACTTCAAATGACTGTAAACTCACCTTGTAGGGAGAGGCTGCATTGGCCCTGATTTTTGCCTTTGTAGGAGAGACGGTGCAATTGGGCAGCTTTTATGACAGAGAAACCTGCTGCCCTTTATAGCTGTGTCAGACAGGAAAACCTCAGGTGCTTTCTAGAAGGGTTTGTCGAGGCCCTGGCTCATACCTAACTAAATACAATCACAGATGAAAAGAGACTCTTCCAGCCCCAACATCTCACTTCTATTTCTATCTACTGCTTCTTCCTTAACTATTTTCCTCTGGACACACAAGAAAACACCACTAGAAAATATTAGTCTAAAATGACACTATATTTTCTCCATCCAAATCACCATTAAATGATTTGATCTTGATTATCTGCCTGTGTGAATCTCTGGCAGATAAGAGTTCTCAGCTCTTATGAGCATTACTGCATTTCCTGAGTGTACTCACCAGTCAAGGTTCAGTACAATCTGAATATAATTTTGTCTTTGACTTTGACACGATGGTGTCACTAGGGCTGGTACCACCCACTGCAGTGAGGTATGCCGTCACCCCTTCCACAGCCGTTGCAAACTTGGAGAGGTAGCACTGATTTTTAGGGCAGGGGGAGCACAGGCAGTTTGTAAGTTTGAGGTGATGGTAAAAAGTGCTCTATGCAAAGCCCATTAACCTGATTGCTAACTAATTGTGAGATTGTTGTTCTAAGAACTAAGGATTTGCGATCAAGTCACCCTGCTACAGAAAACTGAGATATCACTTGAAGAACGCACCTTCAGCAAGGAAGCGGCTGCTTGCCTCAAACATAAAAAGCAAGAAACCTTACAACTGTCAGAGGAGAAGACATCATTGGACTAACAACCTTATCACACCCTGGACACTTCCCTCCTGGACCGATCTCTCATCCCTTTTCCCTTTGATTAAATCTTAAAAAGCCTTGCTTGATCCTGAAGTGTCAGGAAACACTCTTTAAAGTATCAGTGTTGCCGTTTTTTTCTCAGATCACCAGTACCTGAATAACGCACATTTGACAGAGTCAATCCTTGTCTTGACTTAGTTTGTGGGTAGCAGCAGGCAGCTGACCACTTTGTTTTCCGAATGATTGTTTGGTGGTTGTTCTTCCATGCTCGGGGATCCTGCCGCTGGTTCAGTAGTCAGAGGGGTTTCCAAAGGCTAAGTGGCATCCACTTCCTAAGCCACATGCACTCTATGAACTTGGAGAAATGACGATAGTGATAGAAAGACTTCAGGTCTTTTATTCATAGGGTCGTTATAAGTCAGGCTCGACTCGAAGGCAAACAACAATAACACAACAACAACTTTATGTTACAAAGGGGCACTGAGCAAAATTCAGCTGCTGTGGAAGTGACATTTGCTGGAGAAGTTTAAAAAACTGTTAATTTCTGGTGGCCCTAGTGGCAAGAAGCTGTGCTGCAATACCAAAGGCACGTGGTTCGAGGCCACCAGCTACTCTGTGGGAGAAGGATGGACAATCTCCTCTCGTGTGACTAACTGCCTCTGAAAACTCATCGGAGGGTCAGCTATGGGTAAGCTCCGACTCTATGGTACACAACAACAACAACCATCTTTAAGAAAGCCTGGAAAAGGTACTGGGAGTTTCCCTTACCCTTGACAATTTTCCTTCTCTACCTATTCATTTCGGCAAATGATCAGAGTCCCTGAAACATGCAATCTTTAGATAATTATGCAAGTATCTTTAGATAACTGTTGAACATAGAAGTAAGACCTGACAAAGAGGAAGACAGTGGCATGTGCTGTTCTTGTAGTTGTTTCGTCAGCATCTGCCCAGTTGGCTGACCCTGGCTCATGGCGACCTCACACACCATGGAGCCAGTTGTTGCCATCCACAAGGTTTTCAGAAGTGCATCAGCAGGCTTTTCTTCCTGGTTTTCTTAGTAAGGAAGCTTCACTGGGACAATTCAGCATATTACCAGCAAGCAAGACTCTGCTGACAGATGAATAGTAGGTACATTTCGTCTATGTTGTTGTGTGCTGTTAAGTAGAAACTGACCCACAGCTCACCCGTCAGCAGGTTTTCAGAAGTGATTAATTGTACAAGAGGAGATTGCCCTTCCTTCGCCCACTGACTGGGCTGCTGGTGGATTCGAAGTGTGTACCTTGGGGATTACAGTGCAGCTTTTTACCACTAGGCCACTAGAGCTTCTAGGAAATTTAGAGAACAGCTGCCTGGTGGACTAACGGGAAGAGATCTGTGTTTGTTCCATTCCCAAGGAAGGAGACTCAAAAGAATGCAGAAATTATCAAACAATATCCTTAATATCACATGCAAGCAAAACACTGCTGAAGTTCATGAAAAAGGAGCTAGAGAACTACAGAGACAAGAAACTGCGAGACATTTAAGCAGGATTTAGAAGAGACCATGACACCAGGGATATCATTGCTGAAGTCAGAAGGATCCTGACTGAAAGTAAAAAAAAAAACACCAGAAGAATGTCTATTTGTGCTTTTATTGACCATGCAGAGACATT